TGGAACAGCCGCCCAATGATCCCGTTGAAGGAAAAAATAGAAATGATTTTTTTGCTCAGAACCTAAGAAATTGTTTGTTGTGGCATTCTACTATGATAATTTTTGAATTTTGCATTAATTCCAGAGCGAATCTCTGCATCGTAGGTGTTCGTATTGTTATCTAATTTTATCTGTCTTTGAACTATCATGCTGTCGAGAGGAAGCCTATATTTTTTGTATATGCTGCTTATACTTATTGGATGTAATGTCCTATGTGACGGAAATGCAGCAAATTCAAATTCGGCTTTTATTTATACGTGAAAGTTTTGGCGGGAAGTTCTAACTCGTAAGCATAAAAATTAGGTAGCTAAAAATTTAGCAGTGTGTTCAAAGTTCGGGTTTAATCGAAAGTTTCAAATTCAGCCTTCACGTACACGCAGGATCGCATACGCCCACGTAAAAGTTTCGGCGAGTAAATTACCGGGTAGAAAGCTAGAAAAACTAGAGAGCTAAAATTTTGGGAGGATGCCAAGTACCCATGAGCGTCACTAAAACTTTTAGATTTAGCTTTTGTACGTCCAAGCACCATTTGAGACACGTGAAGTTTTTGGCGAGAAGCTTCCCAGTTTGGGGATCAGATAAGACAGAAAACTGAAATTTTAATAGTTTGTTCTCTCCCTCCGAAAATTTAATCCATCCTTTGGAAGGTCTCCGTTCTACCTACAGACATGAACATTCTGACAGAAAATTTATGGACTCATTTCCCCCTTAAGCGCGACTCTGAAGATTTTAGCTTCAGCCATGGCGTACGTTTACACTTCTCGTATTGACACATGAAATATTGGGCGAGTATTTTTCCAACTCCGAAATCAGGAAAGTAGCTGACAGGACATCCCGACAAGGCTAAAATTTTGCGAAAAATTTTCCGCTCCTGCGTGATTCCGAAAATTTAAAATTTATCTTCCACATATAAAATTCCCTTACACGCGCAGACATGATAGTTTTGGTCGATCAGGACATCCCTATTTTTCTACACACGTCAATAGTAAAGCAATGAATATTTTTAATAGCAAAAGTCCGCTCGGCAAAACTGCACAAAATGCATAAACGCACCCAGCAAGTTCCATTGTTTATTCTTAATTATGCGTTTTGCATATATGCAAATGCGAAAACGCATATTACGACGACCCTGTGTGTGTGTGTGTGTGTGTGTATGCACGGGAATTTCTACTCTGCAACCACTGAAGCTTTGATGCCGAAATTTTGCCAGTATGTTCCCTGGCCAAGTGCGTCCCTAGGAACTCGATATCAACTATCATACACGCCTGCGTCTTACCTACGAGCAGGCGAAAGTTTTGATACAAAGCTGTTAACCTGAGGACAAGAAAAGTTAGAAAGTTGGAATTTTAAAATAATGTTCCTTACTCACGCACGAACACACGAAGTTTTATCGGGAATACTGTTAAGAAAATTTCAACTCTTAGCTTTTCTGGTTCTCGAGTTAGTAATTTCTTCCCTCAAAATTTTCACGTGCTTGTACGTAAGAACCTCCTGCATTTCACATCATACTGTGCATCGGTCTAATCTTCCCACGATTATGCAAATTTGCATTACACCATAATACTAGCGATATTTGCTTTCGCTGCAGCAAAAGCAATGCTTACAGGAAATGATTTATGCTCGTTGTGGGGTCTTTTCGCGCACTACCAACTTCCTGTTTTTCGGTCACCGAAGCCGACATCGACAACTGACACACCACATAGTTGCACACTAACTTCGCGGACTTCAAAGGCTAGTATGTCACAATTTCTAACTATTGGGATTCTAAGCATCTTAATAAAGCACGAAACAGTGCAAAAACGCATGATCCCAAGCATCTTTCCAAGGAATCCAAGTATCGTACTATTTAAGAATCCTCTTTTTCTACCTGTTTTCCTTCATTCTCACCACATGACGTGCACGACTTCCCGTGGGATACACTGCCTAAATAATACCACCCGTACAGCACTTCAGTTTGTCTAATATATCCTTTCCAGTCAGTAACCCCGCCTCCTCCCT